ACCTTGAGTTTATCACTAAATTTTAGAGACAACATCAAGACCATGATCCATGAGAAAACAATTGCTAAGTTGTATTTCATGAAAATTAAAAAATTTAAGATGAATCACAGAAAAATCAAATAATAATAAATGCTAGCAAGGATGTAGGGAAAAAAGGAACCCTTCTATATTGCTGATGGAAATGTAAGAGTACAACCATTATGGAAATTCCTCAAAAACCAAAACTAGAAGTCCTATTATACTCAGCTATTCCCCTTCTACATATCTTTCCAAAAGAATTAAAGACATCATATTACAGCGATACATGCATATTCATGTTCATAGCAGTACAACTTATAATAGCTAAATCTTGAAAGCAGCTTATGTGTCTGTCAACAGAAGAATGGATAAATAAAATGTAGTGTTTACACACAATGGAGTACTACTCTGACATAAAGAAAGATATATTTGGGTCATTTGTAGGAAAATTAATGCACCTTAACACCACAATGTTAAGTAAAATAAACTACACAAGCTTACATATTGCATAATTTCTCCCAAAAACCTAAAATATTAATAAATTAAAGAGTAAAACAAAAGATAGATCATAGGAAAAGGAGAGATCTTTTACTAAAGGGAAAGAGACCAAGAAATGGAGATGGGAGGCTTGGGAGAGGAAAGGGAAGAAAACAGAATTAAGATGTGTTAGGCACACGTGCAAACTCCGAATGAGGAATGTAATAATTACATAATGCAAATATGTACTGGTAAAAAAAACTTCAACTGGGCATGGCGACTTATGCCTGTAATCTAAGCAGTAAGGGAGGCTGAAGCAGTAGGATAAGAAGTTTGAGGTCAGCCTGGACAACTTAGTGACTTGGTGAAACCCTGTCTCAAAATTTTAAAAAGGCTGGAGATATAGTACAGTGTGAAGGCCCTGAAAAAATCCCTACTACTGAAAAAAATAAAAATTTCTTCAAAAGACACTTAAGAGCACAAGCCAAGCCAGATTAGAAGAAAATATTTGCAAAACATATATTTGATAAAGGAGTGATTTCCAAAATGCACAAAGAACTCTTAAAATTCACAAAAAGAAAATAACCCAATTTAGAAATGAGCAAAAATACTAAAGCTACACTTCACCAAAGAAGATAAACAAATGGCAGGGCTGGGGATTTAGCTCAGCGGCATAGCGCCTGCCTGGAAAGCATGAGGTCGTCAGTTTGATTCCCGGTACCGGAAAAAAAAAAAGAAGATAAACAAATGGCAAATGAACATGTGAAAAGATGCGAACATGTCATGTCATTAGAGAACTGCATGTGAGAACAAGAGTGAGAAACCTCTTGTGCACCTAGAATAACTAAAATCGAAAACAATGATAACCCCAACATTGGTAGGAAGGGAGAGCTATAAAACTTTCTTTCATTGCCATTGGAATGCAAACTCGGATAGTCACTTGGAAGGCAGTGTGGTTTCTTACAAAATTAAACATCATCTTACCATGTGATCCCACAATCATGCTCTGTGGTATTGACCCAAGTAAGTCTAAATCTCACACCTACACAAACACTGCGTGAGAAAGTTTACTTTCCACTTAATTTTTCTGTCACTCTAAAACTGTCCTATCAACTTATAATAAATGAATAATATTTATTATATAATAGATAGAATTTAATAGAATAGATTATATAATAGATAGAATTTGTTATAATAAATGAATTCTATTTCAAAATAATACATAAAAATCAATTTTGAAGCAATATTCCCTCTACTTTTATAGATGCTTCACATTTTCATAGCAAACTTACCCAAAATATAAATACCCAAAAATTCTACATCTAGGGTTTTATGCTGTAGATATGTGAACATTTTGATCAAAAGTTTATGCCAAAAGATTATGTAGTATTATAAGTAATAACAAAAAACCTGGAAACACTAAATATACATTAAGAGAGGGTTAAATTGTTTCTTTTACATATGGAACACTACAGAGCAGTGAAAAAGAAGTAGCCACATACCCATAATGCACTCCAAAGGAAGTACTTCTCTTTTACTTCCAAATGTAGCCACATAACTGGAATTGTGTCTGTCCCATGGTAGGTCTTCCAAGTATATTGGTTGAATATATGAATAAAGAATGACCATTAACATTTTTTAAAACAAGATATAAAACAATATGTGTATGGATTGCCTTTATTTACATAAAAAGATATAAACATGTGTGCACAAATTAATGTTTCATAAGAAGGACTCACAAGAATCTAGTGACCATGATGAACAAATTGAGAATGGAAGTTAGGGAAGGCAGTAGAACTTCACAGCATTGTGTTCCTGTTTATAAATAAAATTAAATATAGAAGCGAAGGAAAGAAAATATCAATTAAAAAATCAGTAAGGAACTACAGAATGCCCCAAAAGAAATATGGACAAGATCTGGATAATCAACTCACAAAAGAATAAAGAAAAATTATTAATGCTCAAACTAGTAATAAAGTGAATGTCAATTAAAGGTATCCTTTTTTACCTGTCAAATTCATAAATGAGAAGATCCTCAAAAGGGAGAAGTATCCTGGGTAGAAAGAAATGGACACACTTATGCACTGTTGATGCAAGTGTAAATACACATATCCTTTCTGGAGGCCCATTCAGCCCTCAACCATTTCTAACAAAATGAACAGTAAAGTTAAAAACTTCCTCTACCTTCAATCAACCTATCCAACTGCAGAAATCAAACAAATTTGAGAAGTTCTTTACACAGACATTCAAAGTAATGTACATTATGTATACATGAGGAAAAAAATCTGCTCACAAACAGAAGAGGTAAGTAAGTTTTGTACACATACTCCTTGTGGGTGAGCCTGTCAATTGACTGGGTTAAGAGATAGGAAAGCGCGCTTCTGGGTACAGCTGTGAGCACATGACCTTAGGAACTACAGTATATTGGTCCTGAGCCTCTTCCTCTCTAGTGCTATTCCCCTGCTTTGCTTCTTACCCTCCATGAAGTGAGCCACTTTGCTCCACCACACCCTTCTGCCATGACATTTCTACTTTGAGGCCAACTATTATATTTTGTGTCTAGCTGCTCCCCACCAAACTTTCATGCCTAGGTAGGGCTTTTCAGAGGTGACTTTTCAGAGGTGGCTTTTCAGAAGTGTCTGAACCTAGAGTGTGTGATGCTGGTATTAAGGATATGTGATTACTAAATTAGTCCACTGATTGGTTTGACATAGTTTAGATGTGATAATGGGAAAGTTTACCCTGGGTGTGAGTGCTACCTACCCTACGGGTGTATATCCTAGATAGAATATAAGGGACAGAAAGAGTATTGCTGCCATTACTTGCTGCTCTTGTGCTGCTGCTGCTGTTGCTGTTGCTGCTACTTGTTGCACCCTGCTTGCTGCTTCCTGCCTGCCTTGTCACACCATGAGCTGTTTCCTCTGCAGTACACCTCTTCCATGCCATTCCTGCCTTGGAACCAGCCAACTATGGACTGAAACTTCTGCAAATGTGAGCCAAATAAACTTTTCCTCCTTTAACTCTGGTGTCAGATATTCTGTCTCAGCAACAAGAAAGTGATTAAGACACCCACCAAACATGGACTTAAACCTCTGAAACTGTGAGCCTAAATAAATCTCTACTCCTTTAAGTTGTACATATCAGGCATTTGGCCACAGCAATGAAAAACTGACAAATACATCAGTAAAATATCATGCAGATATTTTTATTATTTATCCCTATACTTCTGGATTTGGGAAGCTGTCTGCTCTCAACTATGATAACAATAAACAGGACATTTCCTACTTACCATGATAGGTGGGCACATGAAGGCATCCCTCTTGACCATGTACCACCCCAAATCTGGACTCAAGCATATGGGAATAAAGTAAGCATGACATCAGGTGGGTTTTCTCATTAAATTTGACGATTTTCAATTGAATTTACTCCAGCCTCTTCAGGTATATAGGCCCTGCCTTTGAGAAGTTTATTATAAAAGCTCAGATGCATAAAATTTTATAGTGACCGTCAAGAATTTAATATAAAACCACAGTCAAGGCAGTAAAGGAATGGCATAAAGATGACCCTATTGAATAGAAAAGAAAACTCAGAAACAGACCTACCCATTTGATATTGACAAACATGCCAAAGTAACCCAGGAGAAAAGAAAAGCCTTTTCAACAAATGGGGAAAAGAAGTAAAGAAAAAAGAGATAATTGGTTTATTTATATGAAAAAGAAATTCTTCACCTCACACCATACACAAAAATTAATTCAAGATGAAACATATCTAGTAAACATTAAAATCATACTTGTAGGTGGGCGTGGTGGCACATAGCTGGAATGCCAGCACAGAAGGCTGAGGCAAGAAGATCATTGCAAGTTTGAGACCAGCCTGGGCTACAAACTGAGCTCAAGACCAGGCCAAACTGCATAGAGAGACCCTGTCTCAAAGAAAAAAAAAAATCATACCTCTAGCTTAGAAGAAAGCACAGAATAGATTTAGCACAGAATAGGGTGTAGGACACAGAATATAATAAACATAAAGGAAAAAAGTGGATAAATTAAACTTCAAAATTAAAAACACATCTTTTAGAAGTATAGTTAAGATAATGAGTAGGCTATCCACAAACTGAGTAAAAATATTGCAAAATATATATGCTTAAGGAATGTGTCTGGTAGATATCAAGAGTTTGTATAACTTAATAAAAGATAAACAACCCAACACAGGGAACTTGTAGAGAAATAAAGTCCAATTCATGTTCAGAGAAGAAAAACAATGTTATCTGGAACAAAAAAGAAGTAATCCAATACCACTACAACTCCTACATTTTACTCAGACTTTAAACATAATGGAGAATCATTTAATTCTTTAAAAGATAAGATTAAGTGACATGTAAACTTTAAAAATATAATCTGATATAAAAATTAAAATTTGTTTGTATTAACCTGACCTCAATTAACTCTTAACAAAGTATGGGTAATAATAATTCACCTCCACCAAAAGAAATCACACAAAAAACTGAGTTGCATATAATAATTTATTTCACAGTCTCTTTAAAAAAATAAACCACTGACATATTTTGAAAAACATCCACAGAATAATCATTTAGCAGTCATAATATTACAAAAATAAAGTAACACAGAATAAACTGCATGACTAAAACAAAATAGTTTCTGCTAAATCACTCTGACTAGGAACACAAACAGTCACAAAGCAGGTTAGTGGACCAGCACTGCCATGTTTTGTATTAATAAGTATCACTACAATCAGGCACAAGACCTATTCCCAGAAGACCATTCTATTTGTTATAGGAAAATGTGCAATGTATAGATGTCAAGTTAGCATCTTGAGTTTAGCTCTAAAGTACCATTGCTACTTTTACTCTGAGACAAGTTCAATGGTAAGGTAGAATAATGAAGACCATGGGACACAAGAACACGACTGGCCCATATCTCTCCCACAAGTTCTATAACACAATAAAAAGAAAGGTGTAGACTGCACTGTCCAGTACAATAGCCACTAGCACGATGTAGCTATTTAAAATAAAAATAATTAAAATTCAATAAAACCTACATTTTACTTCCTCAGTCATACTAGACACATTTTAAGTGTTTACTACTGGTTGCCATATTGGACACTGCAGATATAGAACATTTCTCTCATCACAGAAAGTTCTTTTGGACAGCCCTGGATGTGGGAAGTGTTTCTTCTCCCCTTGCTTAGCCAGAGTGTAGGCTGCTTGTGCAAGCAGCTTTGAGAGGCAATTCTTTTCCCAGGATATTCCTAGATTGGTTGCAGAAGGAAGTAAGGTTGCCTCACTTTGTGTATGAAAGTGAGGGTCATTTACAAGGATCAAATACACACTCTAGATTCCACCAAATCTAAATGCCAGGAAAATTGAGGAGATAAATGATGCACATGAAGAAGCAGAAAAGTAGAACATTCTTTATCCTATACTCAACCTCCATATAAAGATCATGTCCATCAAGAAAATATGCAGGTCTTGAGGGTCCTGCTCTAGGGAATCCTGAGGCAGGGAATGGCAGAGGGGTCAGTGCTGACAAGTGTTTCATGAGAAAACCTGGCATGAGAAAACCTGCTTACTCAGAGCTGAGCAGTGTTGCTTGTTTTGCCAGTGAGGAAGCTACTGTGTTGATCTGTTTTACATATTATGCTCTTGTACAACTGTATTTTATAACCAGCGCATAGACCACTAGTTGTTCACTGAAGATCTACCATAATCCCTCCTACCAAGAAAACTTAGATTTTGGTTGAAAGCTACAAAATCTACATTGCTCAAGCAATCTTGCAGATAGTAGCAGCCAGTGACACAGTTTCAGCCAATAAAATGTAAGTAAAAGTTGGGCTGCTGAGAAATCTTTAAAAGGAAGTGCATTCGAACTGGAAGGCTCTGCTTTCCCTCTGCATGTCTTCCTTCTTGTTGTGGGGAGCTGCAGAAACCATCTTGGAACCTAGAAGGGAAAGCTGAGGGTTAGAGCTCGACAATTGTGAACTGCTGAACAAATTCTAGCAGTTACCTATCACCGGTTCACGTCAAATGTGAGTTACCTGAGAAAAGAACAAACCTCTAATTCGGTGAAATAAATGTTTAATAACTTCCTATTCTGTTAGCAAGATAATGATTCACCTTGAGTCTCAAGGAGAAAGTGAGATTTCCAACTACGAGTTAAAAAAAAAATAAATCTGACCTAAAGAATTTTCCCAACTCAAAAGCTCAAGTAACTTCATATAATTTTACCAATAAAACAAAGGTTGAGCGTGAAGATATGAGTCCATGCATGGCTTAAGGATCTGTCAGTAAGACCAAGAATAGCAGAAACAACCAGGTTCATTAAATAAAGTAGCTGCTATTCAAGAAAATAAGAGGACTTTTTTAAGTTTAATCCATCCAGGAAGCATTTCTGAGCTCCTATTATGTTCTGATTACTTTCCAAACACAGGTGTCTGCCTGCCTCTGAATATCCAGGTTACTGTATTCCTGCATGATAAGATACTCATATTCATAATCAGATCAGCATTGATCTATTCCTTTCTTTTGTATAGACAAAATAAGAAATGGAGAGTTAAAGAATTCATTTCACTGATTCAAACAAAAACAAAGTCTATATCAAAGATGTGTAACTCAACTCTTAACTTGCCCTTGTGTATGATGTAGACACCTGACAATGGCATCTAATGATCATAATTGTGGATTTAGCTTAAATAAGCATAAGTACCTCAGACAAGCTACAAAATTAAAAACAAAATACAGAACTCTGCAGATACTTTCTATGTACTATATTGGTCTCTTCAATATCCTGAAAGTCCCTAGATTAGAAGTATGACATAGTAAAAATAAATATTTCCCGGTATCCTAAATGGTTTAACCATTTACAATGCTTAAAATTTGAATCATTTAAAATTTAACTCCAGTGCACTTATTTTGAAACTATAGACAAAATTGAGAACATAGAATGTCACGTTAAAAATAGGGTATTGCGTATTTTTTACTTACCTAGTTCCAAGTTTCCACCCCTGCAAGTGAACCAAAAACAAATCCTGGCACCTTGTCATTCCCAGAAAAGCCAGTGAGTGCATGGCACACTCTGGGTAAATTTTATCTCTCATTCTGTGGAGTCACACCAGATGGCATCAGCCCTGCATCTACAGCTGTGCCCTAAAATTGAAGTTCAGGCATATGAATCTACTTTATTAAACACTTCGGATTTTGCAGGTGTGTGTGTGATGTCATTCCCATTCAACTCAAAATGGTATCTTTCCAAGTGGAACTATAGATCTGTTGCACTTACAAGTTTGGAAATTAAGGAAATGGTCAAGATTGTCTTAAGAAGATCTGAAGTTGTTTTGAACAGCTGCAATTTAGAAACAACAATGAAACAAGAATAATCGAAATAAAATATTAATACTGAATTACAGAATTTTGGCTCATTTCCTCTCAGTGTAAGAAACTCAGTTCAACTTCTAATGCTAAGAACCTTTTATTGAAAATAAAACAGGAATATTTTATAATTAAGTCACATTTATGAAATGAGCAGTTATCTTAAATATGCCTTACTTTTCAAATCCTTTAATACCTAATTCATATTTACCCTAAAAGTAAGACTTGACATAGCGATTGTCAGAACTAAAATGTCGTCAGGGGCTGGAGTATCCAATACATAGACATTTGGGACCTAGACCATGATGGATGTCAGAGCACTAAATCTAGGCCAAGCATTTATATAGATAGCCAAAAATGTGAGTTCAAACATAGCTCTGCTTCAGGAGATCAGTCTTAGCTGTCCATGGAAAAATGAAGGTTGAATAAAAGAATAAGAAAAGGTAATTCATATACAGGTGTCAAACCTTTCAAAAAGCAGAGTCTCTGACAAAGCAAGGGCAAGGGAGGAGACCAACAGCAACAAGTTTTGAGGGAAAATGTAAAGAATTTCAGTTCCCAACTGTTAGGGCCAAACTCCAAGCAAACTGGGATAATAGGAATAAGTATTCATTTCTGCTGAATAAACAAGAACTTAGTAATGAATCAGCTAGTTTACACAGATGTTATAAAATGGCATGGGACACAAGATAGAAAGGCAAGATCTCCTTTCTTAGGAGGCTGTGTCGACAGAGCCCACAGAGAGGTTGGCTTACATCGAGATAACAAAAAACTACTCACCCAGAGTTCTCTATGATCTCCTGCAAGGAAAACTTGAGGCAGGTTAAGCTGCAGGACATCAGTGAGACTGCTAGGAAGATTAAAGGATTACAAAATCAAAAAGCCAAGCAGGTGGTCAAAATTATTTGCATTCTGACTATTTATAAAGTATGAAATGATTGTTTTCTAGCCTTATAAACAGCCATAATTGCTAATTACTCCCACATTCATCTCCAGTGCTCATATTAACCACACAACCCAATAACTAAATGCCACTGCAGAGATATCAACCAATTAGAGAACTATTATTCAAAGCACAGTACAGATGCACTGCAGAATTCCAACTGGAAATTCAAAGTAAGTCTGATGAGATAGAGGTGAGAATCTGATCATGACATTAAGTTAAAAGAAACCGTTTAGTTCATTTAAAAACATGTTTATTTTGACAAAGTGAAATAAAAAAATGTGAGAAATCATCTGCATGTTGCAGGCCAAAAACTTTCCCCATAATTACTCACTAAAGTGGATCTATTTTTTCTTTGCCTTGAAGTACCAAGGCAAAGAATAATTTCTTCCACTTCTCTTTAGTTTTATCAACTCAGGCAAAATTTAGTATTTCATGGGTTTTAGCCTCTGTACATGGCCTTCCTTTGTGTCTAAAATGAATATTCTCAATAATATAGTCATGATATAGATAGCTTGTTCACCCTAACATTACTAAACCCAAATTTGCTTTTATTGAAGACAAATTACATCTGTATCACCTATGTCACTCCAAAAACCCCCGCACTGTTTTCTAAAAGAGCAGGATGATTATGAAAATTACAAGCACTCTTACATCTCTTTCTCATTTCCATAATCCTCTACCTAGACCTTGATTCTTTCAGTGAATGAGAAATCAGTTTGGCTTTTTGGTTCCCGTAGAAGCTTGCCAGTTGTGAGTGGGAAGAGAGCCTTTTCCTTCATGGTGCCATTTCCCCCATCCTGACCCTTCACTTCCTGAGGCCCTGGATCTTCAGGAATTTAACCACTAAGGTTAAGGTTAGTTTCAGGGCCAGGGCCACATGCAAGCATGAACAGTTCCAACTTACACATGCAGAGAGCTTCCATCTCCCATCCTCCCAGCCTTCTAGCAGGGTTCCAGGCAGTAAGTGGAACTGTAGTCGCTGGGGCACCTGCTAAGAGCAGCAGCTCCTCTCCAGGTGACGTAAATCTAGGAAAAAGCATCTGGAGAATGACGTTATTTCCTGAACTAACATTGTCTTGCCAGTGGTTATCGCACACAGGTGAGTTTACTTCTGCCCTTCAGTCTTTTGGTAAATGGTCTAACCATTGAACCTCACCACAGGACTGCTCGCTGGTCCATTTTCCTACTGCCCTACATCATGTCTAGGGCTCTGCAGGCCATCACCAAAAAGGTCACAGACTGGCCAACCCAAAGGCACCTGCGGACTGACTAATGTTGGCGCTCTGCTGTCTGGGTCTACACCCACCCAGGGCAGCCACCTGTAGGCTAGAATCCGAGTAGAGACCCAGGGTAGGAAGGAATTCTCTCTCCCCAGCACCGCCAGTTCAAGTCCATCTGCCCCCTTCCGAAGTGCAGATACTAAGGCAACGTTTGGAACATTTCATCAAATGAGCCCTGTTTCCTCCAACTGCCCGACCCAAAGCTCAATCATTTGACTATTTAGGTTGATTTAGTTTGGAAGTGGCTGGATTAATGTAGCTAAATAATAGGATTTTCCACCCCATGGCTACAAATGCAACTGGTCTGGAAGGAAGGGGTTGCCGGTGCCCAAAGCCATTCCATTCCTCCAACTCTCCTCGGCCCGGACCAGGCTCCCTGGGGAAACGCACAGCACCCGGCCAGACCCAGTACACTCGAGGTCCATTGCACGCTAGGGCGCCGCGAGCCCCGAGCCTCCAGGGAGGACTGACGCACCCACCCCTCCGCCGCCGCTCTCAGCTGGAACCGACCTCCGGCGCCGCCGAGCCCGCACCTGGGAGCGGGAAGAACCGAGGTTCACACCGCCTGCTCGTGGTTGAAGCCCCAGGGCTCGCGGTGCAGGGAGAGGCGCCCAGGCTGCAGCGTCCCGGCCGTGCTGGCCACGGAGTTCTTCAGCTGCTTGATGACCACGAAGAGCAGGAGGAAAAGTAGGAAGAGCAGAAAGAAGAAGAGAGCCAGGTAGAGCAGCAAGTTGAGCTCCCACTCCATGCTGGAGGCGCCAGGTCCGGCGGCGGCTGCAACCGCGGGGCGAGGGGCGCAGCGCGCGCCACCTCCCGCTCCCTTCCGCGCCGCGGGCTCCGCGCTCCGCCTCTCCCAGCCCGAGTTGCCGCGGCGGGAGCGGCCGGAATCCTGGCTCCGACTCGCCGAGCTGCGCGGAGCCCGAGCTCCGCTGAGATCCTCCCCTGCGCTCTGAGGGCGCCAGCGGGTTTCTCCAGGAGCGAACTTCGGCGGGCGGGGACACGGGAGAGGTCGCCGCTCAGATCCCCCCGGGAGTCTGGGCTGGTGCTCTGCAAGTGACCGTAGGAGGTCCACTCATTCAAGAGGGTCCCCAGTCCCCTTGCTTGCTTATTAATTCCCTTCGTTATTCCCCCTGTCCCAGCGTTCCGGAAAGGTAGGAAATGTCGTGATCCAGAGAGGCTAAAGGATTAGAGGCGCCTTTGGGATGCAGTCTGAAGGGCTCTGAGGTGACCTAGGAGACCGCGGTGCCTGAGTGATCCGTTCAAGCCGCAGGGTTGCAGGTGCGCTCTGCAGGGCTGCAGGTGGCTCAGGCTGGGTGCACACGGGAGTGGGGGGAAGGGGGCAACTGGTCCTTAAGAAGAGCAAAACCTATGTCAAAAGTTATTGTACAAAGCTGTAAAATGATGACCTGAAGTTAGTTTCTTTTACGAAAAGACAGGGAGGCAAGGGGCACACAAAGTGTTCCATGATGCTCCTGCCATCTCTGCGTTTAGCCCATATGGTTATGCTTCGTAAGAAACTGTGTATCTACTACTGCATGACAAGCTGTCCCAAAGTTAGCGGCTTAAAACAATGTAAACTGATTATTTCTTCAAGTTTCTAGGAGTCAAGAATTTGTGGGAGCATTGTGTTCGGTGACTGTGCCTTGCGGTTTCTCAAGAGTCACGGTGAGATGTCTGCTTCCAAGGTGCTCACTCAGATCTGGCATCTGGCTGGGAAGCTAATGGTTGGTGGGGGCCACAGGGCACATGGACACAGGGCCACCTGGTGCTCACTGCACAGCCATTGGCTTCCGGCAGAAGTGGCAAAAGCTGCAGTGCTCCTTACCACTAGCTTCCGGTGTAACATGTCAACATTTCCTCAATATCATACTGGCCACACAGGTCAGGCTGACTCTGGCAGGAATCCAGAGATGAGCACATCAGGGGATGAGGATTATTGGGGGCTGTCTCAGAATCTGGCAGCAGGTTATCATTTCCATTTCATGGACCTCCAACTTGTCCATTCATTTGTTTTGTGGTACTGGAGACTGAATCCAGGGCCTTTGCTTTGAGCTACATCCCCAGACGACTTGTCTTTCCTTTTGAGATGGGAGTCTCACTTGGTTGCTAAGTTGCTCACTCTGGGCTGAAACTTGTGTTCCTCCTGCTTGAGCCTCCCGGAGTACCAGCATTGACGGCATGCATCTGACTTTTATGTCATTCTTTATTTGTGAAGATACTCGAGAGACCCTGGCGTGAGTTCAGGAGGTGAGGCCTGTCTAGCACACACCAGGTTATGTAATGGGTAGTCTATAATAAGTGTCTGTTCCAGTTGTGGCAGGTTATTCAAAGAGACAGGAAGGTATAGAAAGAGCTATGAACTGGAAGTCTCTAGGACTTAATTCTACTTTTGGCTCCATCTGTTCATGGTTACTTTTTCTCTACATCTCTCAGTCCCCTGAGCTGTACCCTACTTTGTTTACCTTTCCTTTGAATTGGTTATAAAAGTCAACAGTGAGTGGGATGTTAATTAAGGAAGTGTTTCATTATATAAATGTCAGGTACTACTATTATTCTATTATCATGGGGTCTCCAATATTAGAGACTACTGTTAAAAGTTTCTAAGGCTTTTCTCCAAGTAGTCCTCTCACATAGATTGAAGATGAAACACAGGGCCTTGTGTGTGCCAAGCAATGTCTTCTAACCATCTTACTGTATATGGAATCTCTCTCTCTCTCTCTCTCTCTCTCAATATTATACTATCCACTTCATAGGCAGCAGTATGTTAGAGCTGACTTATAACAACTCACATGAACTAGTTATTAAATTTTTCAAGTCAATTGTTAAAACAAAGCTATTATTAGAAATTAAATTATATAAATTGACAAATTGTGTTAACAATAAAGGTATTACATAATCAAAACTAGTCATTTCCTGACTGCTTCATCCATCATTATCCATGCACCTGAGGTGGTTTAGTCTGTTGGCGCTTATGGTAGAGGTGCTATCTGCTACTGCACATCTCTTTCCAGCTACAGACAGTGATGATGTTGGTGGCTTGGGATTGGCCAGATTGACAGCCTTTACCCTGAAAAATAGACAAGTGCTACAAATCAGGACCAGAGAGTCAGTCATTAGACATTAACCAGCACACTGCTGCACACTGGGCCAAGAGGGAAAATTTGAAGTCATATATAAGTTTAACAAAGACGTGTGATTTTTCTGATTTTCCAGAATCCACACACCTCCACCCTAAGCACCACATGTTCCTCCTGGTGGAATTCTCCATTTTATGTAATCTTGGCAAGAGGACAGATCCCAGTGCCTGCTTTCAGTTGCCTCCTCCCATTATGGAAACCAAGGGGATAGGATATAGCTTCCACCCATCCTGACACAGCGTGGGGAGGAGGGCAGGAAGAGCCACTGCAGAAACCCAGCCAAACACCCTCGATTCCAGGACTCAGAAGCTGGGGAAGTGGAAGACCAGGCCGGACTGTGTGGAGGGGTTGGGTGCATTCCCGTTGTTCTGAACACCAGAATGACCCCAGAAGTGACATGGACTTGGTTCCTGTCTACCTCAACAGCACACTCCACCTCCACCCCTTCCCCAAACCCGGCCCTCCTGCTCCTTTCCATTCCATAGCATTCCTCTGGTTTTCTAGGAAGTTGCCTTCTGATGGTGGCTAGGCTAAGTGTTAATGAAAGCTCACAGGTGGAGATGCTGACTGATGAAAAAGCAACTCTTATACGCTTGGCACAGAAAAGCACCATAATCACCAAGGTGTCTGGCAGAAAAGGCAGATGCCTTTGGGCACATTGCCAAGCCTTCAAAGGACGAAAGTGAAGCAGAGAGGTTAAGTGACCTGCTGAAGGCAGAACCAGGAACGGCCCGGGGCTGTGGCTCCAGAGCCTGCCCTCCCACCCCACCTGTTATTCTACCTTACAAGGAAAGCACATTTTTCTTATGTGTGATCATCAAATCAATGCCATATTTTTTTGAGCATCTATCTAGAAAGAAACCCATTTCAAGAGATATATACTTTCTGCCTACAGACATCTCAGCTCCTTCTTACCTGCAGAATGCTGACCAAAGAGGCCAACAGATGAAGGTTTTATGTCATTGAGCTCAAACCCACTTCAGCTTTCTTAACTGTAGCTATTCACATTACCTATTTATTTATCTCACTAGCTTAAATGGATTTATAAATATTAACTAATAAATCCTCATCTCTACACTCAATAGAATTTGTGTCTAAAAAAATATTGCTGCCACAAAAAATACCGTTATATTTATTGGATACTCCTAGTCCATCTTAGCCTCTGGTGATATTTGTATACCTCCTAAGACGCTCTGAAGTTTGGTTTCCATTATACAAATGACTCTATAGAAATAAGACACAATCTTTCTTCTAAATATGAACGTAAATGAAAATCTATGGAAAGATAGATAGTCCAAGCACTTTAAAAGGCAGGCAGGATGCCAACTATAGATAAGAACTTGACTAGTTTCAGGAAATAGAAAGAGGCCCCGCACAGACAAGCATGTTGGCACACACCTGTAATCTCAGTTACTTGGGAGGCTGAGGCAGGGGGATAAAAATTTTGAGCCTGGACAACTTAGCAAAACAATGTTTCAAAATAAAAAATAATGCTCAAGGCCCTGGGTTCAATGCCAGAAAAAGAGAGAGATCACAATGCACTGATAAGGTGGGGGAGCTGTGCCATGATGATCTCATGCCACTACCCACAGAGTGGATCTCACACATGCTCCCACTTAAAACAGCATGCCTTGTCCATCTTGTCCACCCCTCTAGGCTTCACGCGTCTCTCAACCCCTCAGTCTCCTTCCACAGGTCTCAAGACAACTGGATGCTACACAGGGGCTGCCTGGGTCCTGGCCTGTGGATGCTATGGTGTGGACAGGGTTCCCATCACTTCACTTGCTTTGTTCCTCTCCACCTGCCCCTGTGATGGGAAGGGAGTATTTTTTATCATGACAAGTGTCTTAGTTACTTTTCTCCCATTGCTGAGACAAAATATCCAACACCCAAAGTTAAAGGGTACAAGGTTTATTTAGCTGACAGTTTGTAGAGGTTTCAGCCCATTATCAGCTGGCTTGTGGTGGAAGACAGCAAAAGCAATGGTGGGTGGGGAGAAGATGGACATGCCTCCTTCTGTCCCTTATATTGTATGAAGACTGCCTGCCCTAGGGCAGATGTAGCACTCACACACTTAATCATAGCTAGAACTATGCCAAACTGATCAGTGGACTGATTTTAGCTGCACACCCTTAATCCCCACATCACACACTCTGGATTCAGCCACATTTGAAAAGCTGACCTCTACCCTATGACTGCATGAGCTTTTGAGGGGGGACATCTAGACACAAGCCATAACAATAAGCATCACAAGTCCGTACTCTAAGGAAGCTCCCAGGCCCTGGGACACTGTCCTAGACAGTCAGGACCTGAATCAGCCCCAATGGTCCTGGTGATCCTTAGGGCTCAGATACATTCCAGCCATGCTCTCCTTGTCTCTCTGACACCCTCACTCCTGTTGCTTCTGCCTCAGACCTAGATACACCGTCATGTTCATTTCTAGAAGAGGCAAGTGGGCCCTCTAGGAATCATCCCCTATTTACACTCTTTATATTACTACACCCTTCTAGCTGAGAATTAGAAAATCTATGAGGATGTTCACTGCCACTGGAGAGCAGTAAAGTGAATTATTTTACTGGCTAGAATCATGTACAGGTAATTAATCAACATGCATTGTAATATTCCAACAATAGATATGCTCACCCCACCTTTCCTTCTTCCCATACCCCATCCCTAAAAGAATAACTTCAGTGGTTATGCAATGCTTGCAAAATAATATACTCTTCAGGAAATAAGTCACATTTACGTGATAAGCTACTTACAGCTCATGTAACTCTTTAGGAATTCCAGTGAGAAAGAAGGGAGGTAGGGAGAGAAAAAGGGAAATCTAAGGAAGAAATTTATTTGAGGGATACGTGGGAGATTATCCTATGTGGGTAGCCTTTGAAATCCAGAATTCATCTCTAAGAATAGTTCTATGAAAAATACTTTAGATTCCGTCCTCCGTTTAGAACATCTTAAACATAACACAAGATGCACCAACTCTATCCATTACTAACAAAGAAAAGTATTAGGTGACAGATTGTAATTATAGCCAAACATTATTTCTTTAATGTAGAGGCTCTTTCTAGTAAGTTAGCAGGAACACTGGAAAAAGTCAATATGACTGTGGTTGACTCTAGGCATGATCAATACTATATCATAGGGGCTGGGGATTTAGCTCAGCGGCAAAAGCGCCTGCCTGGCAAGCGCAAGGTCGTGAGTTCGGTTCCTGGTACCGGAGAAAAACAAAAACAAAACAAAACAAACAAACAAAAAATACTATATCATGTAGCACAATAAAGAATCTGAGCATTATCAAGCTATATATCCTTCATCCAGCGCAACTTTAATATTGACAGTGGTGAAAAATGTTGCCATTAATGGATGTCTTCAGGCTTTTATATGAGCTGATAATGATCAGGAGTCATGGGCCCACACACACATGAACCCACACACGCACACACACAAGGCTAAAATTGGACTGCCTCAAGAAGAAAAGGAATCAGAAAAAAAAAATAATAGACTTTGCCTATAATGCTCACTTCCTTAGTGAAACACCAGTTAGTAAGATTTGGCCAATTTAACAGCTAGAGCTTTTAGCCCCAGATCTGGTGACTAAAAATGTCTGGACATCCCTCGATGGCACTATAGACAGGCAATGGACAGGCTTGGGTCTCAGCCCTGGCTCCAGACTATCTACCCAGTCAAGTGCCATATGATAGAGTGCCATGGACTTGGACATATATCTTGATTTATTCTCTGGCTAGCTGAGAAAATTGGACACCTTTGATTGCCCACCTAGCACCTCACGCCTCTTTTCTCCTAATTCATGGAATCCTGTCTTTATTCAGTAATCTGCCCCTCTCCCTGTCATCTCACACAACTTAGAGAAAAACCAGGGAAATAAATCTGGAATCATTTAAAATTCATTCAAGGTCTATGAAGATTTTTACTCTTTGGTCCAGGAGGGAGTATATGGCCTCAACTGACTTAATCTAATGCAAGTATATGTCAGTGTCCTCATCCAAAAGAGCACAAAACCAATCCAGGTATCTAAAGAA